TTCACATAGGTCACATAATGCTTTGTACTCTATAATGGCCCAACATTTGTATAATTTCACACTGCTAAGTATACTGGGAAGTTATGTGATGTAGAGGAAGCAGCACGCTCTGATGGGGTAAGGGTCCATGGTCCCTTTTCCTCACACACCATGCTTGTATGTGCTGCTGATAGCACAGGGAAGTGCCAGCAAAGGAACGCCCAGTTTTCTCCAAAATCTGTGGCTTTTATGCAGAACTGGGTCAATTCATGAATCAAGGGGTTTCTTAACTACATTGAAAGATCTTGGCAGGAGTCAATAAATTCAGATTGTTTCCTTTATGTAATCTCTCACACTTCATTTAATACTATGAAGTCAGAGAGTCAGTCCTGTTCAAAGCACACTGAGAAAGCTACTTGGCCACTCTGAGCCTCAGATTTACCTTTTATAAAACAGAACTCTTTAGAAACTTACAGGACATGACCATGTAATTTAAATCACGTATATTTGTATAACTTTTCCCAAGAGGTGGAATGGTTAGTTGGTCAGCTACCCTTTGACACTCCAAGAAGACTTCAGTTGGCATACTCTGAAAGGGGCTACTGCAGGGCATGGATTCACAATAATCTGAGGGTTCACTATAGGAACCTTGGTATATCTTCCATCTAGAAAACATCCCATCCTACAAAGACAACTAGCAAATGTAGAGATTTTAGCTCACACTTAAACAGTGGATTGACAGTCTTAAATTGACTAGGTAAAAGTTAAAACATAAAAAAGTCAGTGTGCTCAAGATGGGTCATTATTGTCACTTAAGATTGGCAAACCTCTCACATTCTTCGAGTAAGAAGGAGATTCTCTCACTGTAATATTTGATGTTTTTCAGAATTAAAAAGGCAGCTATGTCCTAATGTTCATTCAATCTTAGGATAACAACAAAGGTTTCATGAATATGAAATGCTAGTTACACAAATATGAAATGGATCTGTGATGAGGATACTGGGTACATGATAAAACAGTCCCAAAAGGCATTATACCTGAGACCTTAGCTTTCTTTCTAGAACATCAGCAAACAGTTCAAAATTAATATAGCACACCATGCAATTTGCCATGTTGCTACACTAGCCTGATGATTTTCCCTCATTATATAAAATCTAATTAGTTAAAGGGCAATTCAATGGAACTTTTATTTGGGGGATTTAGAAATATTAAAACAAGGGGGAAAATCAAACAGACACTGCAGAACTCTGAGTAGAGTGAATACAATTATTAATAACCCTTGGGTGGGTAAGTGATTAATCTTATTATTTTTCCTTCTCACCATTAAAATTTCTACAACAAATCAGCACTGCATAAAAATATTTGGATGCTGTATGGAAAACAACTTTTACAAGGTCTCCAACTGGCATCAAATGTTCTCAAATATGAAAACATCTCTGGGCTTTCTCAACAGACTGATGGATCCCTGCAGGTAGCATTTCCCTTGTTTAGTAGTCCTGCCAATTAAATCAAATTAGAGATGAATTTTTAACTCTGTGATGAAAGCAATGCTCATTATAAGAGAAACCAGGAGAATGAGACATTTCCCTTAAGTGAATTGTTGCTTCAAATTTAATAAACGGGCTATGGGGGAAGCGAATGGCAAACAGCTCCATCACTGTTATATGCTTTGTATAACATTACATCCATCAAATAAAAGTTGTTTAGGAGAATAATCTGTAGTCAGGGTTGCTATATATATATATATATGTATATATATATGTATATATATGTGCATATATATGTATATGTATATATGTATGTGTACATATATATGCATATACACACAACAAATATTTATATATATATATATATATATTCCTATTTTTCTTTTGTGTATTTTCATTTGTGTTTTTTTAAAAATTTGAAGTATTTTTGAAATGGACTTCATGATATCATACTTCATTCCCTGGAGAATTTACCTTTTACATTTGACTCATCAATCATCTGCATGTGTAAGAAATAATAATCACCCCCATAGTACTATTAAACATTAGGACAGTACTTGCTGGCCTAATTATACTCTTTATAATATATTGTTTAATATTATTAGTGCAACTCTTTGCGTTGCTCGACTGAGAATTAGATAATATATGTCAGAAGGTTAAGTTCTCACTATAAACAAAACAACACCCACAATAAACCATCTATTAATTTAGATCATCAGCATCAACAAATGTTCACTTGAATAAAATTGTGAATTATGTGTATATGAACTGCTATCATATGAGGTTAAATAGAGACAATGGTCACAAAACTTAAATGGCTATAGATCTATTTTGGGATTCATTAATTGCTGACAATATGATGAGTATGTTTTTTTAGCCACAGGTCAAAGCACATCAAAAAGACTTGATGTGATCTTGGGATGTTTGAGGAGCCTATTTCCTAGTAGAAAGACAGCAGCATGTGCAAATGACCTTAATGGGAAATTTGTTTTTAAAGTATTTTTAGCAGATGTTCAGAAAGGATCGCCACTCTGTCCATGTAGTTGAATCTTAATGCTGATGTTGACAATATGAAATCTATAGTGAAGTCTGTTATAGCTAAATCCTTCAGCCATTGTAAAATATAGCATATGCATGTAAACTTATGGTTATGAACATCAATAGTTTACATCAATAATATACATCATTTACTTTCCATGAAAAATACTTTCAAGATCAGACCCTAATGGGTGCTTCATTTGTTAAAATGGGATCTTCCTAGATAATGATTGGTATTGTATTTGTTGATTCCTTCTATGGCACGAAGAGAGAAGCCCTGGAAAATGCCCAGATTTAGCTAAGTATCCAAGCATCTTCCTCTTCTCTATCTTGCACCCTGCGACCATCTGCCCATATGCTCTGCACCTTATAAGCCTGGCAATAAATAATCTACATGTGAATTCTTTCCCAGTGGAGAAGAAAGGAATCCACCAGTGCACACAGCAAGCACTGTATATATAAGGCCACAAAGAAGGAACTAGCTAATGCCATGTTTTATAGTGTTATCATAAATCTATTTACCTTAAAAGCCAGGAAACAGGAAGCTAGTCATGTATGATACTGGGTGATCCCTAAATGCTCTTCCATCTTGCTTAATAGAAATTAAAACAAAACAAAACTAAAAAATGATCCATTGTGCTCTAAGATGAGTAGCCAGAGGTGTTCAGACTACAGACTATCATTTTGAGTCATAGGATTTTTGTCACAGATATTAGCAGTGAAATTTTCTCAGGTTCCTTATAATAAAGATTAGTGCATTTTCCAAAGGAACAACACAGCATCCTTTCAGGTCACCACTGATTTCCAAAGGTAACTGTGCAAAACGAAAGTGGAATTTCCTGATTCAATGTGTAAAAGGTCAACATCTGCTGATGCTCAAAGGTGGGGGATGGGGTGGAGGCGGCCAAATGAGATGTGGAGTGAGCAAAGGTCCATGCAACACACAACTGGCTCTTAGAACAGAAATACACCCCAGCACTACTTTCCCACTCATCCATTTCTGAAACTTGGGTCATGCCAGATCATGATAGCCCTTCTGGGTCCCCCTCCTTTGAAATTGCTCAAGAACAGTTGTAAAGGCCTGAAAGGAGCACTTTGGGCTACATATATAGGCAAATGCCAAGCACTAAAGCAGAAATATTAGAACTAAATGTCCTCATTGGCAAGATAGCCCCAAGACCACTTTTGTAAGATCACAGACAGTAACTACTATCATAGGTTTGTGTCAAAATGGATGTAAATGCTGCTTCTGATAATAGAGCAGCTGATTTTCATGCCATTCAACATGTCTGATGCCTAACAAATAAGTGTCTGGCCTATTTGAAAGTTTAAGTAAACGAGACTGATCTATAAATTAGGAGAACAAGTCTTGCATGTATAAGAAGTGGCCACTTTCTTTATCCAAATTATCTGAGTATTGCTTTTAGAAGAGTGTTGGTTTTGGCAATGCTTCAATGACACAGATCTTAGGACACAAGCCTTTGATGAGTGAACATCATTGAGGACCAGTCTTCTTTCCATTTACAGTTCACAACCGAGGCCTCCTCGGTATTTTCCCCCCCTAAAACAGTGTTTCAGTAGTGGCTCTAAGGTTTATGCCATTGGACATAAAGGTCATGCTATAAAAAATGGTGTGAATTTATGCTCTGAAACAGTGTCATACATGTTTGTAATCCACATTTCCAGCATTGGGTAAGGCTGCACTCATTCAGAAGAGGAATTGCAGCCTGAGCCTCTTGTGGTAGCTGGAGATGCTCAAACAGTGATGTTAGACAGGGTTGTCCAGAGAATGGAGGGAAGATTTCTCTCCAATTGCTTGGATTTCTACTACAAGATTTCTTTAGGAAGTTTTGATCCTATGCTTATATTTTGTACATATCCTCCTTCCTACCAAGGAGAAAACAAAGGGCTTCAGATGAACAGAACATTGTGATTAGGAGAGAGGAGTGGGTGGTGTGCAAACTGATTATCTTTAATTCCTCATGATGATAATGATCAGAAACCCACCTCTTTCAGGCCTTCACAAAACCTATATTTTAATGCATTAAAAATTCTCCTCTCTGGCTTCATGGCGTTTTCCTTGTATTTAATGAACTTAGGACATTTATGGACACTCACTCTGCTTTTCTCAGTTACATTAGAAATCCCAACTCCGTCCCACAGAGAGAGTACAATTTGTTGTTGATTGCTAAGTATGAAATAGGAATGTATATAAGATATATTTATCTAAGTAATTGCTTCTCCATTCATGTCTCTGTTTAAGTGGGCTTCATGAATCCAAACTCATCAGGAAAGTTGGCATTGCACATCTACACAAGAGCTATGCATAAGTCACTATTTTATCTGTGTTCCCAGTTCACCTAAAACCAGGAGGACACTTGAATTCTCATAGATAATTCTCTATTGCATCAGAAATGGATATGAGAAAAGAGCTCTGAGCTGCCAAACAACAAAGCAAAGCTAGTCTAGGTTTGGTTTGGTGATTGTTTTACTTACTACCAATACTGGAAATGCTGGGGATACCTGTAGAGAAAAAACAAAACAATAAAGAAGGGTTAGCTATTTACTATGTGACATCTTTAATTTATTGTAGAAGTCATATAAATGCAATACTTGGTGACAAAGATTATTAGAAGTTAGTATAAAAATTTATAAAATATGTGTGCATATGTATAAGTATATATATTATCATTTATTCTTGAACTCCTCAGCTCATCAAATTTGAAAAGTTCATGTCCACCTTTAATCAGTAGTTCAATGATGCCTAGTTACATGAAACATTTTGTGCTTATTTATAGGATTAATATATCAATTTTTGTGGTTCAGAGTAGCTATATTATGCAAGACATTTGATCTGACCACACTACTGAATAAATACATGTACACCTATATAGATATATCTGTATGTGTGTGGGTCTCTGTTAAGTTTGTTACAAGATACATGCATTAGCTTCTGAAAAATCACTTGACAGTTTATTTGATTAATTTCACATAGTCATTCTTTTTATTCCTCTTTTACTTGTCAGATATGTGGATTAAACTCTGTAATAGAAACTTAATTGAGCAGAATAATTCAAGAATACATTACATTGTTCATATCGATCACAGGCTTCACTGATTATTCAGCTTCTCTTTGATTCACAAATCATGCTAAATTGGTGAAGCTATTTCAGAGTTTGGCTTGATGTCTTAGAAATGGGCTAGTAATGTGCATCCACATTACAACTCCTACCAAGTACTTTGACCAAGTGCATAGTCTCACCAGCCAGGACATCTGAATCCAAAGGGTGGCTCCAACTCCTAAATCCTTACTAATCTTTGGATCTTGGACAAGTTTCCTATGATCTCAATGCTCATTTGGTTTCCTATCTCTCTATTTGTTGTGGAGATATAAGTTGATAGATGGAAAGCATGTAGACCATTATTTTGTAATTGGTATTCTTGTAATAGTTAACTCTTACTGTCTTAGCTTGCACATGAAGCAGCTCTGTGATAGACATTGCTGAATAAATACCACAGATTTACCTCTTGACATTCAGTCTATGGTTTCTGTATGGGTGACAATGAGATGCGGATCAGACAATGCTAAGTGAGGGTCCTGCAAGGCTACTACTGATTTTTAGCTGTTTCAAGCCTGTTTTCTCATCTTCAAAGCAGCCAATCATATCTACTGCATTGGGCTGCTGTGATGATTAAACAAGATGATCCTGAAGCACCGCTGAAACAAGGTAGGCAACCAATAAATAACAGCTGTTAATGAGTTGGTCAGTTGTATTCTTCTTGTGACTGAAGTGTATCACAGGTGGGAATGGTAAGAATCATTAAACATCTATTTTAGCATTTATCTTCTAACAACTGCCGTCTGTTTAATTGAACTGATCACTTTACCTTTTGCTGAGACTTCTAGCTTTATAGACTTTAAACTAAAAGCTTTACTTTTCTGTGGCCATGTGAGAAATGGGAGACTATAGAAGGGTTATATAAAACCCCGGAAAGAGGACAGGTTAGTCTTACTTTCATTTATTTCGTACATAAAAAATCTCTTTATTTTAGATAGTTGGTGTTTAGTTGTTATTGTGATTATTGCACATGTTTGTGTCTGTACCTGTGTATATGTGTAGGGGAGGCACTCACTTCAGCCTACACATGTACAAGGTAGAGGTCAATGTTAGGTATCTTCCTCTACTCCTTCCCATCATATTTTTTAAGACAGGATTTCTCAGCTTCAATCTCACAGTTTCAGCTGGACAGGGCTAGTGGACCCCTATGTTATGTTTGTCTTGCCCCTGCCCTCAGTGCTGAGTTACAAGCATGCACCACTGGGCCAGTCTTTTCTGTGGGTACTGGGGATCAGTGCTTCTTTTACTGGCTCAGCCATGTCCTCTGCCCTTAAATACCTGGAGTTTATAATACTTCAGCTTAATTACTTATCTCTGTTCAATCAAAATTTGAAAACTAAATGTCCATATTTCATCTTTATCCTGTGAACTGAATTTTAAGCTAAATGTGGTTTCTGAAAAGAACAGTTAGACTCCAAGCCCAACACTTTAGTCAACTATCTTTACTGCAATGTGACATTGACTTGGTACTGAACCTTTTTTTTCCATTTTTGCAAATTCCCCACTGAGTGAGGTGTGATGGCAGCATCATAATTTTAGTATCAATTGCAGAAGCTCAGAATTTCCTCATGATTGAAAACTCCTCTCTCATGCAAGGCAGTGCTTGCCTGTTGCAATCCATCAAAGAGAATGGAAGTTGAGATAGCAGAGAGAGACTCTTCAAGTGTTTTCAGACTTCCACAGAGGCAGAGGGCCATGCATAAATGCAAGGCGAACTGCTTAGGGAGTTCCAGCAGACACAATAATAAACAAGCTTGCAAGGCGGCTTACAGCAGTGCTTGCTTTTGTAGAATGCTTCAGAAAGATGCAGAAGTGTTTCTCTTCCTCTGGGCCACAAGTACAGGAGAACCCTGTTCATCCCAAGTATCCACACAGTACCAATCATGACTATTCTGAGACTCTATTTTCTTCATGAAGATGCTATATCTAACACTGGGTGCTTAGAATTCAGGCCCTTCTCCATTCTGTGTGTTGTTTTTTGAGGTACCGCCAGATGAGTCACTCTTTATTCCATGTCTGTAAAAATGGTAATTGCTCAGGAAAGATTTTTAAACTGCTCATTTGAATAAACAATTTTGGAATTGAATATATCTGAACACCAAGGGATATCTATTAATTTATTTCCAAATGTTATTTTCTCATAGTGGTTCCTACTTTAATGTCAAAAGTATGTTACTTTTGGTTGTCTGTGAACACTTGAGGAACTTAGTAAACCCAGTGCACCCACTAGAAAGGCCACATGTGTGCTGTGAAAAGTGCTTTGAAAACTCAAGAAAATAATGCAGGAAGGCCCAGAAGTGGTGTCTTCAGGCTCCATAAAATCAAGCCCCAGGATCTGATCCCATTTTACTATGGCCATTGCAATCACGAGTGATGGTATGGCTCAGAATGTGCTTGGAGAAATTGTCTAGAGATATGTTGGCAGCTGCAGCTTTCTTTTCTTTCGCCATGCTCCCTCTAATTTTAAAGTATTCTAAAGAATACTTTTGCTGTTGAAACTGAGCTCCCAATGTATTCCTCCAGTCTTTCTCCATATCCCCATGTTGGCGGAGTTCTCTCCATGATCTCATAACTCTCTGTCCAGGTATCTCTGATGGGTTTATCTACTTTTCTGCAGTTCAGTTGTGTTTCTCTGAGAGCACTGATGGGGCAAGACCACTCCCTTTTCTTTTCTTGTGTCTCTCATAGCTTCTGGGGACAAACAAAACATAATACAGAAAAGTTTCACAAGGTATCAGTTTATATATTCTGGGGAGTGGACATAAGGTTCCATCATACTTGGCAAGTGCTCACCACAGACCTATTTGACCCCTCTGTTTATTGGTTTTGTAATAAGGTCTCTTAAGTGTGATTCACTGTGCTCCAGAGTAACCTTTATGTTGTGATCCTCCTGCCTTAGCCTTCTAGTGGATGTATTAAAGGTGGGACCGGAAGAAGTATTAAATGTATAGATTTCTCTCACCACTTCACCATTCATGAAAAACCCAGGATGGTGCTCAACAGGAGAATTTGCCTGGCATTGGATGTCTGACCTATTTCCTTTGTAGGTGTTTTGTTCTTCTCTTTTCCTTTAATTGTCATTTTGATGATTTTATTTATATTTTCCCTTAAATGGCCAATGGGAAAATACAGGTTTTTTTTTTGGACTTCTAGGAAATTTAAGAATTCTCTCTAATGCTATGCATATAATCTTAATGTTTAAAGTTCTATATGAAACTGAACTTCTTTATTTAAAGGTGTCCAGTGAAGGACCAAAGCTTTAGATTCCACTAGTTTAAATCATTCTCTGAACAACTGCAGAAGGATAAATAGATGCAGTACATAATAAAAATACACTAGCAAGCAAGGAAGGGAAAACCAACACAAGGTAATTCTCAAAGTTTGGTAAACCTTTGAAATCTTAAGGGGAGTTAAGAAATTATCTATCCAGCCCTCATTTCACAGAAGTGGCATAAGGAGCAGAGCAGCTGCAGGCATCCAAGCTGACCCATTGATATGCAGCACTAGAGCATGCAACTCCAAGTCCCTGTCTGAGCAGTGTGGGCAGGTCCTGGGAAAAGAAAACACTGGTGTGGGTGACCTCTAATGAGAGGCTCTGTAGTACACAGAGTGTGATTTTAGCTCTGGTGCTTCTAGAATTAAAATGTCACTCTGCTATAGAAATGCATGCAAGTAAACCAAAGGGGTAATATGCCATCACGTGCTACGAGAGAAAGAACACAGGAAGATGCTGGCAGTGGTTCACTCCTCCCTCTTCCTGCATGCATGTTACTATTTATTATGATGGAATTCTGCTGATAACAGAGACAAGAATGTAATAAAATTATACAATGTTATGAAGTGAATTTTTTTGCTAACTCTTTCTCCATCAAGCAAATAGCTAACGGGTGTATAATTAAGCTTAAAGAAGTCAAAATAGTGTAGATATAAATAAATAAATAATAAATAAATAAATAAAAAATCCGAAGAAGCAGATTAAGGCAGTGCTAAAGCTATAACTCCTTGAGAACCAATGGTAAGCTTGCAGCTTTCCATCATGAGGGAAGCAACATAATAAGGATTTGGTATGCTTTGAAATGTAAGGAAAAATTACCACCATTGTGATAAATGTTTTGAAATGCCCATTGAGTAAGTGAGTAGATCATCCCCAAGTCAGACTGCAGCCATTGGGAACACTTAATTCTAAAATGCCATAAAGAGGAGGTTAGTAATGGTATGGAAATATTCTGCAGACTCATTCATATTCCAAAGGAATTGCTTCAGAGTCTTCCAGTCTGAGTTGTTAGTTCAAACTGTTGTTTGCTAGGAAGTGTGGTGTGTTTTCTCCCAGGAACTTGAAAAGGAGGGAAATAAGGTTGCCTTCACAAAATGACACTATAGGATTCTCATGTAAATTTACCAAAT